AAGACAGCGGAAACGCGTCGCGCGAGAATATTTCGAAAAGCCTATCAGCAAATTCCTTAATTGGCTGATCGAACCGGGCATGATATTGATCAATCAATATCGCGCGATCAATCGACGAAACCGATCAGAATGCTGATCGGGCATCGACCAGTTTATATAACTGGCTACACAAGGCAGAGTCAGACGGAGTCGAAAGTGTAAGTCGTTCGGAATCAAAATTATAAAAGTCGCGTGAGATATTATCGAATCCCATCGCGAAGTTCACGCGAGCCGTATTATTAGCATCTCAAGTCATACTTGGTCGCCAGAGTAAGAGACGCGCCGAGCCGCCCGACGATGCTTAATCGTATGTGAGAAATATAACAGTTGTAATATTACGTGCTCTTGTCAAAATAAATCAATCGAATTAAAGGAAAGTATGTTAGTGATTTCAAGAGGACTACATTCCTTTTGATCCTACTCGGAGTTCCAACTCCTTAGGTTTGGCGAATCCGACTATCCCTAATAATAACGTTGTAACTCATCCGGAGTACAACAGTAGGATCCGTGCAGTTATTTCGATCACGTGACAAGCAGATGAGAAAGTAGTGAATGCACAAAACATTGCTTTCTCATCTGCTTGTCACGTGATTAAAATTTACTGAACGGATAACTGCGTGAATAACTGCGCGGATCGTACCTTCCTATAGAAATTGAGCCGATTGTTTGAATGATAAATAGACAATTTTATACATAAATTTATATTCAAGTAATTAAAATGTAATAAAATTTTTTTATTGTATAAAAGATAATATTTTATTGATATTAAATTTAATTGATATAAACAATGGATATTATAAAAAATATTTAATCTATAAATTTTATTTAAAGGTTAGATATTAATTTTTTGTGAATTATATTGTAAAAATTAAACGACCGTAAGCGGTCATGAAAGAGATTCGGAATATAAACAGCTAACAGAGAGGAGCCGTCGTGGTCGTGCAGACTAAGTGTCGGATTGGTAGACGAGGGATCCCGAGTTCAAATCCAGTCGGTCTCCGTTAATTTTTTCCGAATCTAATAGATATCTTTCAATATGTTATTATTCTCATTTTTTTCTTATTTCTTGTTATTTTTATTCTTATTTTTTCTTATTTTTTTATTTTTATTTTTTAAATTTTATCTTATTTTTATTTTAATTATATCTTATTATTCTTATTATTTTACTTGGATCAATTATTTATTTCTGATCCTTTTCGCTTCTTATTCTAATAAAATTCTAATAAAATTTTGGTGTTCGTTTACGCAATACTGCAAGCAGAGCATCCAAAGCAGGACTTCTGAGATAGCTGCACAGATAAGATACATCCCTGCATAAACGAACGACCTAGTATAAACTAGTATAGAACGACATAGTATAGATAGACTGAGCATACTATATATTAGGCAATGGGCGACATGTACGAGTGAGAAAAAACATCTGATTTTTTTTTTCTCTTTCTAATAGAAGAAGATGGAGAAAACATTAGGGACTGTGTCTATGATAGGGACCATAGACATTTATATTTGTATATTAGACTGCTAACTTGCCTCAAATACATGGCTTCGAAAAGCATGTACAAAAACACATGCGCATGCGTATGTAGTAAGGGAGCATGCATGCGCATGAAAGTCCTATATATGCTATATATACCGAATATATGCTATATACATGAATTTTATATATATTTGAATAACAAATATGTAACGTTTTTTTTATCTTTTCGATAATTGTTATAGCTTTTATCATTTCTTGAAAGAAAAAAGTTGAAAGTAAAAAAAGTTTCTTTAAACAAAAAATTGTTACGCCTTTTAGAAATATATATGTATATATTACAAAGTATTTGGTCATGAAATGATACATATATATATATTATATATATATATATATATATATATATATATAATCAGATTTAGGTAAAGAAATTTATTTAATACAAAATGAAAAAAAATTCTAAAGCAGAATTTGAAGAATGGAAATATTTAAGATTTTTAATAAAAATGTCTGTATATGTGCATCAGCCATATTCATTCACGTGACCACGTGATCACTCAGTTTATTCAGTGGCCCAAAGATGCAGTTGCCACAAAAATAATGAGGGAAAGTTGAACAAGTTTGTGATTTTTCAAACGTGATAGGTATTATTGATGGAACTCATATCAAAATTCGTGCTCCAAAAGAAGATCCAGACTCGTACATAATAGGAAAGGTTTTCATTCAATTAATGTACAAGTTGTCTGTGAGTCACGTGACTATTCACACATTGTTATGCTGGGCATGTAGGATGTGTGCACGATGCAAGAGTTTTTCGGAACTCACCAGTGGCAGATTTTCTTTAATTACCTCAAATATATTTTCCTAATAATTCTCATATTATTGGAGATGCTGCATATGGTATCCATCCACAAGTTATGGTACCTTTTAGAGATAATGGTCATCTGACAAATGCGCAAAAAAATTTTAACTATTGTTTGTCATCTACGCGAATGGCAATTGAACGGGCAATAGGTCATCTGAAAGTTCGTTTTAGGGTTCTCTTAGACTATTTACCTTTAACAGATGTTAGAAAAATTCCAGAATTTATTTTGGCCTGTTGTGTATTACATGACATTTATATTTTGCAAAACGATATAATTGAACTGATGGGTATATATAGAAATGAAGAAAAAGCAATAGCTGTTTTACATGATAATGCAGTTGAATTAGGAAATGCTAAAAGAAATGTAATTATGAATGCTTTACCAAGGAAAATATAACATTAAAATATATGTAATACTGAACAA